GGACACACACACACACACACACACACACACACACACACACACACACTCCTACCAGATTAGAGATACTGTCATTTCTGTAGAGCCATAAAGAATTGTAGCTACTGAAATGTCTGCATTTGGAGCACAATCCCTGGCTTTCTTCCCTTCCTCCCTGACAGGGCCCTGACAATGTTTCAACTTCCTGTCTTGGCTGGTAAACCTTCCAGAGAGTGCTAGAAATGGCAGGCAGACTTATGGAAATGGAGAGAACTCCTGGCTCATCCGCACAGCCCCTTGTAGCCTCAATCGGATGTGCACTGGGAATCCTGGTGTTCCAGGTCCCTCCCTGATGGGCTCCAGATGTGCTCACATCTGGGAAGGCCATCCCAGGAAGCTGACACTCCCACTTATAGCTCCCACCCCGGATGGAGTCTCTCCTTTCAGCTTCCAGGCCTTCAGCTAAGGGGTATCAGGCACCCCTTTCCTCTCCAGAGGGACGATGAGCACAGGGGGAACAATGAGAGAAAGAAATGGGGGTGAGGCAAGAGAGCGAATCAAAGGAGGTCACTGTTTAGGACACCCCTGAGAATTTCAGTTTTCTTCTAACTTTCTATCAGGATTATTACATTTTGCTACAGCGCTATGGTGACTCCCAAAAGGCTGAGAAAGAAAAGAAAGGAAAACGGAAGAAAGTTGGAAGAGACTGTACTTCCTTCCACTGGACAACTTGTACCCGAACTACCCCTTTATATCAGGGTCCCCTTCAGCCCCCCTACCCTTCTCCATCAATGCCCATAACCTAGACCCCACCCCTGCCTAGTCCAGAAAACCCCAGTTCGGTGTCCACAGAACTGTCTAGTCACCATTTCAGTCACTGAAGTTCAGAGTTTCACAGCCCCCAAAAGGCCCTAAGCACCCAGGACCGCTCTTGTCACCCTAGAGAGCCCACCTCCTCCTACACTCTGAGCAAAGTGGGGGCGGGGAAGGAGAGTGCAATCTGGCTTTATTTACCTCTGGGACTGAGGAGGGGTTTTCTCCCTGGGCAGACGGGTAGGAGTGCTAAGTGGTGACTCACAGATGATGGAGCCATCAGTTCCCCTAAACAGAGACCTGAGTCAGGGCAGTGACAGCCTTAGGTTCAGAGAGCTTATTCTTGTACTTTCCCACTTCCCTCTCTTACAGACAATGATGTCCCAACTTCAGCAGACTTGTTCTGTGACCGGGCTCCTGCTCTCCAGCACCTCCTCCCCCTGCAGTTCCATCCTCCTCCTAGTCAGGTTCCATGCCTGCTCATCACTCCAGCCCAGGACAGGGAGATTGGGTTCTGGGGCCAAATCTCTGCTCTGTCTCCTTTTCCACTGAGCTGTGTCATCTTTTTTGAGAACATTACATCTGAGCAATCCTTCAAATAAAAGAAAGACTTCTCTGGCCAGAAGCCTGGGGTCTCTGTTAAAGCCCATCTCTCCAGGCTTCAGGAGTTGGGGAATCAGTCTGCCCTAGCACACCTATGACCCATTTCTGTTTCAACCATACCAGCTAGGAGAGGTTTGGGAGAAAGGTTTTTTTGGGGAGAGGGATAGTGGGGGTTGGTTATGGGGTTTTCCTTTTGTAGTTGTTGGGTTTGTTTTTGTTTTTTTTTTTTTTGTTGTTGTTGTTGTGGTGGTGGTGGTGGTGGTGGTGGTGGGGTGGTAGTTTTGTTTGTCTTGTTTTACCTATGGTTTGGTTTGGTTTGACTTGTTGAAACAGGGTTTCTCTGTGTAGCCCTGGCTGTCCTAGAACTCACACTGTAGACCAGGCTGGCCTCAAACTCAGAGATCCCCCTGCTTCTGCCTCCCTGGTACTAGGATTCAAGGCATGAGACGCCACCACCTGGCTAGGTTATAGATTTTTCAAGACAAAATTTCACTATGTAGTCTACACAGGCCTGGAACTTTCAATCCCCCTGCCTCAATTTCTCAAGTGCTGGGATTACAAGCATGTGCCAGCAAGCCCAGCCATGGAGAGCTTTTATTTCATAAGAACCTCAAACCCCTTTATCCAGCCACGCTTCTTACAGGCCCCATCTGGTGAAAGCCTCCTTCTTAAATTCAGTGAGCTCAGCCTCGATGCTCTCAGTTTACAGGCAGCTGAGAGTCTGAAGGAAACTAAGAGTCTTGCCCCCAGAGAAGTCACACTCAGACACGCAAACCTTTCCCTCCAGTTTTAGGGGATTAATGGTTGTATATACAACTGTCCTCTCACCCCACCCCCAAGGACAGCAGATCCAGATTAGGATCCCTGCTCCCTGTAGAAGCACAGCTTTGTAGAGGCTAACACTGGGAAGAGCCAGCCTCAGAATACACCGGGATGCTTTGGGTGCTCCTCTGCCTTTTTCTTTTTGTGATGTTGCTAGCCACTCCTCTGAGTTTCCTGTAGAATTAGGATAGTCATGCCTTCAGTGCTTGGCCTTTGAGAATGTTAAATGGAGAAACAGTTTAAAACTCAGCCAGGAATCCAGCATTGCATGTGTTAGATAAACCATTACTGTTTCACACCCTGACCTGGCTGTCAGAGCTTGGCATGACTCCTAACTTTATGCTTTGTATCTGCATCTGCATTGCCCTGTGGAAATTCACTCTCCTGCTTCTAAAGTTGCAGCCTTCCAGGCAGTCAAGCTGTTGACAGCATGAGCTTGGTGAGTGTCCTGGTCTTGTCCTTCACCCTCTGTGCCTCCATCATGGAACACACTATGATTAATAATAGCCATCACAGCAAATCATTACCACTGAACCATAGGACAGAGGCTACCAGAGATGTCAGATCTGAGAAGGAAACCAGAGATATACAGAGGCCCACAGACTGACGAGAGAGGTGAGAATCAGAACACGGAGAAAGGGCTGAGAGGAAACGAAGGACACATGCAGTGGGCTCAGAGGAGAGGCATGGATTTGGAGTCAAAGCATCCAAGTCAAGCTAAGCTGAGCTGGTAAAATGGTGAAGGTACTTGCTACCCCAAACTTGATGACCTGCTTTGATCCCAGGGATCCACATGGTAGATTAAGAAAACCAACTCCTGAAAGTTGTCCTCTGACCCATTCATGTGTGTCATTGTCTGTGCATGACTTCACACACACACACACACACACACAAAATAATTGTAAAAAACAAACAAAAAAACCAGCACTCGGGTCCTAGACTCTCCATGGTTAGCCATGTGACCTTGAACAAGTCATCACTCTGTAGCAATTTTCCCTTCTGAAGAAGATTGGATGGATAGCCTCTAGGGATCCTCTGGCTATGGCCTGGAGGGTTATGCTGAAATACCTCCAAGCAGGAAGGAATCCCAGCTCAGATTCAACAAGAAGCAGGGGAAAGGGAGGCTAGGCAAAGGCAAGCAAGACAAGTGAGAAGGCTGGAGGTGTTGGGGCCACTGGGCGAGGACTTATAAGGGCAGGGAGAGCCAAGAGAGGAGGGATATTGGGGAGAGTAGAAAAGCTAGCCAGAGAATGACTAAGGGGCTCCTGTGTAAACAGGAGCAAGGAATGGACAGGGAGGGGGCCTGTTTGAGTTGGCCAATGTTGGGGGATTGAGGAGGAGGAGGACTAGGGCAGGACGCTATGTCCCCTGTCCCCCACCAAGGCTCCTGGGAGAATCTGAGTCACACACCTCCCTGGCTGTACACCCCTATCCTTCCCCCAGCTCCTAAATCCTGGGAAAACTCTAAAGGGAGTCTGGGCGGAGAAAGGAGAGGGCTGGATTCACACATGTGGGACCCGACCTTCATGTGGATCTCTATAAACAGCAAGGCTCCGTCCTTCTCTCCAAGGGGGTTCCCCTTGGCTGGTCTCACCAGAGGTTACCTTTGGGCACTGCTTGCTCAGATCCTGACCCACAGATGCCTTGGGTTCCTAACCTGACAAAGGGTCAGGACCTTTAGAGGTGAAAGTGGAATGGAGCCACATGGCTGTGGTCTCCTCAGCTGGCCTCTCCCTGGGGCTGCAACTGGCTCTGGAGATGGGATTTTAAACACCTGGATGGGTGAATGGGGATAGGAGGCAGAGTACAGAGGAAACACACAGCAGGAAGAAAAAAATTTGACTCTGGGACTTTTATTCAGAAACCCCACAGGTCACAGTGGGGCAACAGAGAAGGGCAGAGGGGGGCAGGATTTAACTTTCAGGGCCATTATTCTAGAAGAGGAGAAGTCCTGGAGGAAAAGGGAAGAGAAGGGAGTAGAAAGGGAAGGGGATTAGGGGAGACTCTAGGACTCTCTCCCCATCCCCCAAAGATAGAGACTAGAATCCTGAAAGGTGATCTCATCACACACCGCCTGAGCCAGGAGCTAGAAAGGTACCTCCACTTACCCATTCCTCTGCTTACACTGGCCATGGGGTTGACCAAGATGGCCAAAAGAAGCTGAAGGTTGGTTCCCTTTGTAGACTCCCCCACCACCACCACCATCACATCTGCCGTCCATCACATATCTTTCTGGGATTTCTCCACGAAATCCGGCTATTTGATGAAGGCACTGCGTTGAGGGGCTGGCCACTTGGTCAACGTTAGAGAGAAGCTAGAGAACTGAGACAGAATGCTCCTGTGTCTGAGACCCCAAACTCCTGTGCTTTCCACTCTATCAGCTTGGGGAGGGGCAACCGCGGAACTCCTGCAGCCAGCGAAGCTGCTCCAGCAGGCTGCCTGCAAGCACTCAGTGCCTGGGTTGCAGAGTCCCCAATCCAGCTGGCCCTAACCCAGGCACCCGGTGGCCCCGGAAGGCAAGAGGGAATCCCTGTTGGCTGGACGCCAGAGGAGTCCCTTGTCTCTCGACCCCAAAGCTTCTTTCCTGAATAAGTGAGGAAGACCCCCACACACACTGTTCAGGCTCCCTCCGCCCCCCAGAGGTGATTTCTTTCCTCATTAGGAAATTCTCTGCTCCCTTTTTCCAACTACTTTTCCGAGCGTTTACGTTGTACATCTGGAAAGGAGGGGGAGGAAGGAGGGGAAACCAAGAGGAGGGCGAAGAACCCGAGCCCGCCCAGTCTGAGCCAGGCCAGACCACCGGCCTCCAGCTGGGGCCGGAGCCAGGGGTTCAGAGGTGCGGCCCCCCACGCCCCTTCGGGGTGCGGGGCGCGGCCTCGGCGTCCCGGGGACCCAGGAATGTCCCCCCGCCAGCCGGCCCGGCGGCCGGGGGGAGGGCCCAGCCGGGAGTTTGGCAAACTCCTCCCCGCGTTGAGTCATTCGCCTCTGGGAGGTTTAGGAAGCGGCTCCGGGTCGGTGGCCCCAGGACAGGGAAGAGCGGGCGCTATGGGGAGCCAGACGCCACGGTCGCCACAGACTCCTCTCCACGCGGTGCCGCTGCGCTGGGGGCCCCGGCGCCTACCTCCGCTGCTGCCGCTGCTGCTGCTACTGTGGCCGCCACCACTCCAGGTTGGGGGCTTCAACCTAGACGCGGAGGCCCCGGCGGTGCTCTCCGGGCCCCCTGGCTCCCTCTTCGGCTTCTCCGTGGAGTTTTACCGGCCGGGAAGGGACGGGTGAGTGGCGAAGTTAGCGGCGGGAACGGGGCAGTGAGCCACCTGGAGATTGGGGGCGCGCCGGGGTCTGGAGGCGACCAAGACTGGAGTTTGAGGGCGGAGTTTGAAAGGACTAGTACTAGAGTTGGGGGCCCAAGCTAGAATTGGGGGCCCGCGCTGGAGCAGGGAGGCACCGTGGCCGACGTGGAGTGTGAGAGCTGTGTCGGGACTTGTGGCATGAGAAAGGGACGGGAATCTAGAAGCTGGAGAAGTGCAGGCAGGGTCTCGGGCCAACCCGGAGGAGAGAGCGCAGAAAGCTCAGGATCTCTGGCGATCTGTGGGCTGCTGGGGACCTGTGGAGGGTGGCAGTCGAGGGGGGCGCGGAGGCCGGGCCTTAGGGAGCACTGGAGGAACTTTGAGATCTTCCGTGAGGCCATTGAGAGGGTTGAAGCTGAGTAAGCGCGTGCAGTAAGAGGGAAGACAGACTGAGAGGGTCGGGAGGTTATGTGGGGGCCAGTCTCATCCTCCCCTCCCCCCATCTGCCCAGACTGGGGAAAGACCGGAGAGGACAGAGGCTCGCTCCCTTTCTCCTCAGTCTCCTGCATCGCCTCCCACCCCCAATCTCTTCAGGCAAGGAGATCCAAAGACTTGAGGAGAATCCCTGAACCCTGGCACTGGGGGTGCTGGGTCTAAGGGCGGGATCAGCCCAGGGCGGTGCACGGATGTGTCGGGAGGGGTGTGTGTGCGCGCGCCTGAAGGGGGGTGGGCGGTTTCCCTCTAGCTCCAGCTCTTGGGAGGAAGAGAAAAGCTGATTTCCTGTAGCTTGTCGGCTGTAGTTGAACTGAGACTCAGACTTCTGGGACTAGGGTCGGAAGTTGGGGAGACATAGGCTCTCTGTGCCCAAGAGCATCAGAACGAAGGTTCCTGAAAATCTCTATGGAGAATCCTTATTTCCGGGTAATAAGCAGACTCAGACTGCTAATGCCTGGAAAATGGGTGCCCACGGGCTTGGAAATCAGAGTTAGAGGCCACATTGAAACAAAAGTGTTTGTTTAAATAAAGGAGGGACGTTAGAAAGTAAGAGGGAGATGACAGTCCCTGCTGCTGGGACAGAAACCCTAGATTCCTGACAGATTCCTGAACCCCTTCGATGACAGCAGTAGTTGTTTCTCCAAATTCTGAGCCTCCCTCTGCTCACGGCAGCACCACCCCCCTCCAACACACACACACACACACACACACACACACCCGAGATCTCAGGGCTTGATAGGACCTTTGTCAGAGGTGAGCTGAATTTAGCTGTTTAAATAGGGGGTGGGGGAGGGGGCCAACTCTAGCTAATTCAATTGGGGAAGGGAATTTTCTATGTTGTCTAGGGGACTTAGGGATGGAAAAAAAAGATAACTAGGCCCCAGCCGTTGAATTTGGGCTTTTCAAGGTCCCCACCCCACACCCTGGCCTCTTGCCCAAACCTCATTGCATCACCCTGTCCTGGAGTCTCTGCCAGGCCTTGCGTCCCCCAAGGTCCCCCAAACTTCTTACCACAATCCTAATGGAGCAGAAGGGATGGAGGGGATGGAGGATGTTTTCCCTCATCAGGGCGTCCAATTGTCTGGCTTTTTACTTGCCTACCCCCACCCCACCCCACACTGCCAGTTCTCTTTGACACACTGTCGGACTTTGCACTCTCTGTCCCCTAGGTGTGCATTTGACCCCTGGCCTGACCCTTCAGTCCCTGAGGCTTCTTCTAAAAGAGGACCCAGCCTCTTCATCCCACCCTCCCTTCATCTTTGCTCCCTTTCTGTTCCTCCTCCCTTTGCTGTGTGTAACCCTCTTAGAGTCTTCTCGATCCAGGCACCTGTGTGCTGGACTTGGGAAAACTCAGCCCTGTGACTGTGGTCTCCGTGCTCCTAGTTTCTCTGGCATCACTTCTCCTGTTGAACAATGAAGGGAACAGAGTGAGCACAGGCAGGCCTGGGTGCGAGTGAGTACCACTCACCAAAGCGCTGGGACTTGAGCCCTTGGAGTCCAGCCTTCCCTTGGCCATGATGCCTACCTAATGCTAAGGACTGAATGAGACAATATCTAAAAGGTGCCTGCCCACATGCAGGCAACACATGGAAAGCATGAGTTTTATGGGGAGAGTCCTGGTTCTGATTTTTTTTCCCCTGGCACCAACCTCATTCCTTTTTTAAGTTTTCCTCCATTTCTAACTTGCATTCATTCATTCATTCATTCATTCATTCATTTCCAAGCTGTATAGCCAAGGATGCCCTTGAACTTCTCCTACCTCTCCAGAGTGCTGGGATCACAAGCTGGCTCTGTCACCCCCTCCATCACACCCAGTTTATGGAGCTTGAACCCAGGGCCTCTGAGCAAGCTTGGCAAGCAGTCCACCTGCGGGCACTGCTCATCCCCAGCACTCATGTGCTTGTGGTACTTACTAATAACTGATAGTAATACCAGTCCCTCACATTCCTCTTATGCTTTCATATCAATTTCTCATTGGATTATTACAAAAGTCCTGTGTTGAGCAGAGAAAATATTTATTGCTTTAGAAGTCATAAAAATTTAGAACTAGAAGCTAGTTTAGGGACCATTTGAAAGTAAGTCATTATTGAGAGAGACTTAAAGGCCAGAAGAGGGAAAGTGACTTAGTGAACCAGTCTGCTGGAGGCAGCTCTTACTCAGCCAACCAGGTATATCCCTTTGGGATGTATATGGGGTTCTAGAAGCAGGTGTCCACCTCTGGCCTGGCTAGGGGTGAAGGTAGGATTGTGGGAGCTGGGCCCTGACCTGCCTGTTGCTCTCTACCCTGACCTTGTCAAGCCAAGGGAGTCAAACAGTAACTGAATATTGAACAGGGGCTTGGTTAATCAAAAGCCTGGCTAGGGAGATAGTGCAGAAGAGAGGAGGGGATGTTATGGCAGAGTAGAGCACTAGCCTAGGAGCCGGGATCCCAGGCTTCTATTTACATCCTGGGAAAGATTCTGAGCAACCCTGCATGGCTGTGGCTTTCCTTGGACTTAGTTTTCCCATCTGTCCAATAAGGATGTGAGGCTAGTCAGCATTTTTGGGACCATCAGGACTGAGGTAGCTAGCCTTTCTTTACTGCATGCAGCACCCACAGAGTGTCTGCATTATTCCTAAAGCCAGTGGATTTCTGCACAGTGGCTTCTAGTATAGCCATCTGTCTCAAAAGACTAACCAGACCCTCCAAGCTCTGAGGTTTCTGGATAAATGACGGCAAGCATTTCTTCCCTTGGACTCTGTAATAGTCTATCTGCCAAGCTGCATCTAGTGGGAGATAGATAATTCATGGTCTTTTTGTTTTTTATGGACCAAGAGTACTATAGCTGCCAATCAGAGTTTCTGACCAGCCTGAGATAACCAGGTTCCCCACACAAGTTGGTGTAATGCCAGCCGAAAGCAAATGCACTTGAAATTTTAATTAGCCTAGTGTGCCTTATCAGGTAAACGCATGCTTTCCGTTAGGCTTTCTGTAATATTGAAAATAGCCCAAGGACCCTCCCTTGGTACTACCCTCTTGGATTGCTGTGAGGATTCTACTGCTGCAGGATTTAAGAAGTGTCAGGTAGGAGGAGAATAGGGGAAAATAAGCTTACATGGCAGCCTCAGCACAGGCACCTTAGCTGGTCTGTGCTGGTGCTAGAATGAGATGGCCACACCACTCAAGCCTTAGGTAGAGCCATGCATGGACCATGGGGGCTGATCTGGATCCATGTCTCCTGTCTGCATTCTGGAACCCCCCACACCTTCACAGAGAGAACAGATATGTCCCTGGCCCATGAGCTTCCAGGTTCCACAAGCTTTGTAAGGGCTGCTGAACTACACGCCCTCTTCTCAATTCCTCCACAAATGCAGACGGTATGGGCGAAATCTGGGGTCCTTGATAGAAGCCAGAGAAAGAGAGGAAACCCAGGCCTGTGCTGAGCTAGGGCAAGAACCAGGACCCCAGCTCCTTATGCAGCTGTCTGGTTCCTGTGCTGTGCCCTCATGTTTTTGTTGTTGTTTTGGTTTGGTTTTTTTGAGGCAGGTTTCCCTGTGCAGCTCTGACTATCCTGGAACCCACTCTGTAGACAAGGCTAGCCTGGAACTCAGAGATCCAGATCCTCCTGCCTCTGCCTTTGGAGTGCCTTTGGATTAAAGCTGTGTGGACCACCACCGCAGGCCCTCACTTTTTTTTTTTTTTTTTTGGAGCAAGAGGCAGGGGCTGAATTCTCGCGCCAGCTCTAGCTGCCTTTCCCTCCTCTCCCAGCCCTGGAATTGCAGCTTCTCAATGTGGTCACCTTCAGAAATTCTCACCTGAGGAAGATCACTGGGCCTTTGGAATGGCCGCTCAGACCTCTAATTGGTTTTAATGCCTGAGTGAGAGAGGGGTGAGACCCAGTGGGTGTGAGACAAATGGAGAAATTTGAGGTTGGAAACTGACAGGAAGCCACAGGCAGTAAACATTTCCTGTCCCCAGGGTAAATGAAGCTGGCACCTCCCCTCTCCTCTCTATGACTTGAGGCACCTCCTCCTGTCCTATACCCACTCCTTCCCTCCTTCCATGCTCCATTGGGAGTGCTTCCCTGTTGCTCCCATCGCTTGTTCCTCTTAGACCCTGACCCTCCCCCTCGGATATGTGACCCTAGTGGAAGAAGACACCCCTGCCTTTGTGGCCTCTGCTGAGTGCCCTCTTGGGCCCACAATCCTAGTGATAAAGGGTGTGAAACAGCAAGGAAAGGGGTAGATGTTGGGACTGGTGAAACATGAAAGGATTCAAAGACCTAAGATCTGATATCAAAAATAAAAAAGGACGAAATGGTTCAGCATTTAAGAGCACTGGCTGCTCCTCCAGAGGGCCAGGGTTCAATTCCCAGCACCCACATGGCAGCTCATGACTACCATTAATTCCTGTCCCAGGGAATCCAATGCTTTCTTCTGGCCTCCTCTGGAGCTGAGTGCCCACCCCGCACGTACACAGACATTGAGGCAAAATATCCATACAAATCAAATGAGTAAATAATTACTTTTAAAAAAGGAGGAGACCCAGGAATCTAAATCAAGAGAGCAGGCTGTGCTGGGGACAGACAAGCAGAGAGGTTGAGGAGCAATGCCAATGGCAGCAGGGAGGAGAGCAGAGGCCAAGGCTGGCCGGGACACTGGCCCAGAGCTGGGGGTGCCAGGGAAAGCTGCCCAGGCTGCCAGATGCAGTCCTTGCAGGAGATCCCGAGGAAGGCGCCAAGAGAGAGCAGGACTGTGGCTGTGAGGGGGACCCGGAGGCAAGGCACCAGGGCTGGTAGAGGACAAATGCCAGGAGCCATCCCTTGGTGGAGGACCCCCTCTCAGGCATGTGTGTCCAGGAAGAGGGTTCAACAGAACAGGATTTGAGTTCAGACCTCTGGGGTTGCTTTGGGGTGAAGACACAAGAGGAAGCAGAGCTAGGAAGGTGAGATCCACGCTGGGCTGGGTGGGCGGCGGGGTGGAGCAAGCCAGGCCCAGGAGGAGCCAGCTCCTCTCCACGTCTGCCTGATCGCCGCCGACACTCGGAGTGGCCAGTTGCCTGGTTCCAGCCCAGGGAGAAAATTTGGCTTGGGAAGAGAGGGTACACAATAGGTGAGGAGAACCCAGGTTTCCACAGGAACCTGGGGTTCTAGGGCTGAATTGTCCCTTCAGTGTGTGTGTGTGCGTGCGTGTGTGTGTGAGTGTGTGCGTGCGTGTGTGGGTGTGTGTGTGTGTGTGTGTGTGAGTGTGTGGGGGGTGTGGGTGTATGTGTGGGTGGGTGTGGGTGGGTGTGTGGGTGTGTGTGTGTGGGTGGGGGGTGTGTGGGTGGGGGGTGTGTGGGTGTGTGTGTGTGGGTGTGTGTGTGGGTGGGTGGGTGGGTGTGTGTGTGGGTGTGGGTGTGTGTGGGTGTGTGTGGGTGTGTGGGTGTGTGGGTGTGTATTTTAATCCACTTTCATTTGCATTTGGTACTATTTGTTTGTTTGTTTGTTTATTTGTATTGTTTTGTTTTTCTCCCTGATGCTGAGGGCCTTGCATGTACCAAGCACATCCTCAACCTCTGGGCTGCAGCCTCAGTTGGGCTGGGCATCAAACCTTGGCAGGTAGATGGAAGAAATGGAGAAGCTGGGGTGCAGACCCTCCGTCCCTTGTTCCCTTTCTGGGAACTGACTCTGGTTCCTTGTGTCTGGCAGGAGGAGAAGGTGGGAGGAGGGAGGAGCTGAGTTAGTGACAGCAGCACATGGCGAACGCCTGACTCCAGCCCCTGCCTCTGGCATCTGTGGCATCTTCCGAGATATAAATACAACCCAAGGGACAACTACCCCACCCCCACTTTTGGCCAAACGGCCTGGGTGCATCCTGCCACCAGAGACTGACCTGGAAATAGGACCCCTCCTAATCCACTTCTCCTTCCCCTTCACAGGGTCAGTGTGCTGGTGGGAGCACCCAAGGCCAACACTAGCCAGCCAGGTGTACTGCAGGGTGGTGCTGTCTACGTGTGTCCCTGGGACACCAGCCCTGCCCAGTGCACCCCCATTCAGTTTGACAGCAAAGGTAGGCTGCAAGGGTTCAGGGAGGATCCTAGAGTGAGTGGGCGGGTGGGCCCACAGCTTGGGGATGGGTCTTGGAGTTCCTGCTGCAAGGGTGCAGCCAGAGCCAGCATGCTCTCCCAGCAGTCATCCTGCTCCGTTTCCTAGCTGTGGGCTCCCAATGGCACTCATTCCAAGTTCCCAGCCCAGCCCAAGGAGGGCGGGCATGATTCAGAAACATGTGGCTCTCATTTCCACTGAATCACCCACAACTCTGGGAGGCCAGGGCCATAACACAAAAGACAGAGGAGACTCGAAGATGGTTCTGTTCCTAAGTTAAGTGATAGTGCACAGCAGCCATGGTGGGATTTAGCTGCGGCCCTGGGGAATGAAGCCCTCAGGCAGATGGGCCTGAGGGAGCTGGGGATATTCAGCCAGCACTCCCAGCACTCCGAGAGCATTGGCTCCATACTCAGGGTCTAGAAATGCTGAGCATCCTGGGCCAGGGCTGGTGGTCACCTCTCTGAGAACTAGTGTGACAGGCACCTTTCAAATTCTACAAGGTTCCCGGATCCTCGAGTCCTCACTGTCCAGTGCCAAGGGAGAGGAGCCTGTGGAGTACAAGTCCTTGCAGTGGTTCGGAGCAACGGTTCGAGCCCATGGCTCCTCCATCTTGGTGAGGGACCAGTGGGACCAGTGGTGGCTAAGAGTTGAGTGGTGGTGGAGAAAGATAGGCCTGGTTTGGGAGTTACTAGGCTAACCCTGAACCTTGCCCTGCCTACCAGGCATGTGCACCACTGTACAGCTGGCGCACAGAGAAGGAGCCACAGAACGACCCCGTGGGCACCTGCTACCTCTCCACGGACAACTTCACCCGGATTCTGGAGTATGCACCTTGCCGCTCAGGTAGGGGCCAGAGTGGCATGAACCTCTGTGCCTTCTCCATTAGAAGGTCACAGGTGCTCAGGGCTTTCTCCTCATGGCTACCAAGCATAAAAGTGTACATGTTCAAGGCTGCTCAGGAGACTTCTCTGGTCTCCTTTTTGGCTCCTGCTTCTGTCCCCTGTCCGCCCATCTTTTCACAGGTAGCTCATCTCATTGTCTTGTTCCTCTGCAGATTTCGGCAGTGCAGCAGGGCAGGGTTACTGCCAAGGGGGATTCAGTGCTGAGTTCACCAAGGTGAGAGATGCCTGGAGAGGGAGGGCAATGAGTGAAGATCCAGGGTCAGAACCAAATGCTTCACTCATCCCCCTTCCCCTCACCTCCCCATAGACTGGCCATGTGGTCCTGGGTGGACCTGGGAGCTACTTCTGGCAAGGTAAGCCCTTCCTGGGCCCCCTTCAGGGTTAGGGTTCCTCCACACCCTTTCCCCATTCTAGGCCTGAACACACTAATCCTTCCCTTCTCCACCCCCTCAATGTTCCAGTTTCCGGACTCCCGTTCTATTCCATCACCTTCCACAAAGACCCTTTCCTTGATCCAAACTTCTAAAATCCTCCTCAGTTCCCCTAAGGCCCCTGGTACCTCCCCCAGCCCATCACCCTGCTCCCTTTCCAGGCCAGATCCTGTCTGCCACTCAGGAGCAGATCTCGGAGTCCTATTACCCAGAATACCTCATCAACCCGGTACAGGGGCAGCTGCAGACCCGCCAGGCGAGCTCCATATATGATGACAGCTACTTAGGTAGGCAGGTGGGGAGAAAATGGGAGGGGGAACCCAGCTTCCATCCTCACTCCACTGTCCCCTGCTTCTCACACTCAGTGGCATCATCTCTGCTGCCATTCTTGTGTACAGGCTGACTATAAAGGGAATGGGGGGGTCCCAAAGGAGGCAATGCTAACATCCACCTACTCTGTCCCCCAGGATACTCCGTGGCTGTGGGTGAATTCAGTGGTGATGACACAGAAGGTGAGTCTCCGGCTAGGCCAAAAGGGGGGCTGGAGAGAGCCCAAAACAGTGTTCTGAGTCTACCCTGTCCGTCCCCCAGCCCACCAGTTTCTCTCCTCTTTGCAGACTTTGTTGCTGGTGTGCCCAAAGGGAACCTCACCTATGGCTATGTAAGACCCTGCCCACCATCTCCTGCCTCACCCTGGCTAAGTGCAGAGCCTTGCATGGCAGTTTGTGGGGCCTCCAAAACATAGATCAGAACATAGGCTCTTGGGAATAGACAGGATTTCAGAAGTCTAGTTCAAGGAGAGGAAGTGAGGTCAGACTTGGGTTCAAATTCTGGCACTGATTCTGGGTAAGTTCGTCTGTTCTTTTATTGCTACACTGTCCCCTGCTTAACCTCTCTAAGCTGCTTCTTCCATGCATAATGGGGTAATAATAGTTCTGACCTCACCAGGCACTTGTAAGGGGTGAAAGCACTTGTGAATTGTTAGGTGGTGTATAGTAGCCAGCCGCTATCATTAGACCATGACAAGAGCCTAGACAGATGAGTGCCACACATGGCTGTTCCATTAATAACATTTATTAAGGCAAGGTGAGCGAAGAAACAAGTATGTGGGATGAGATTCACAGCTTTCATCTTGATGGAGCCACTGTTCTTGGGCCTCTCGATGTCCTTCCTAGGTACTGGCCATTCATGAAGGTCTTCCCCATGTAGCCCTGTGGGATCGAGAAGAGTCTTGACATTCTGAACATAAACAATGGTCCTAAGATACCAATTATATTGCTTAGGGGCAGCTGGATAAATATTTAATATTACTATTCCCAGTTCCACACTCTTTCTGAACTGGAAGCTCCTGAAAAGTAATTGAGGTAACCTAATACATTTTAGGAAAACAGTAACCCCCTTTCAGAGAGGGTGCATCAGAGAAGGTTCTGTGAGGGCTCCACACAGATGAGGCAAGAGGGGCTCCCCCAGGGACAGGCATGAAGGACACGAAGAATAGAAAACTGGAGCTTGTTTGTAGCCTCACGAGCTAAAAGAGGGCGAGAAGAGTAAGGGCGGATTAAGTAAGTACAGACGGTAGAGCTAGACACCAGCACCTGGGAGGGCCAGGCAAGACAGAGACTGACAGTGACTGCAGAGGGCTCCCTGGGGCGTACAGGTTGGAGTAACGGTCCTCCATCTGCTCTCTGGCATCAGTGCCAGTAGGGGAAACCCAAGGCACAGAGGCTAGATGTCCATCAGTCCTAGGAAATCTCACACCAAGTCTCAGCAGAACAGCAGGGCTTCCAGGATCCAGGAGACTTGGAGGTCTGCTAGGCCAATGGCTAAGAGGAGACAGGGAGATGTGAGTGACTTGCAGACTCTGATAGATGAGGTTTTGAGCTGTTGTTTTGAATCTGTTGGGTTTGAAACCCCAGTGTGTAGTGAGTGTTAACTATTGCTTACCTGCTGCTTGCCAAGTTCTTCTTTAGTTTCTGAGAGGCAAAACCCAAAACCATGCTCCTGGTCTAGTGAGAAGTACTGTAGTTCCAATGACCTTCCATTCTACTCACTAGAATCTACTGGGTAGAGATGAAAACCCATAAGAAATGTGAAAGAAAAAGGCAAAACAGCAAGGGCTACAGAAACCCTGAAGGCAGAAAGAAGGCAAATTGGGAAGGAGTCAGAGGAGTGCTTAGGTGCCCCTGAAGAATGCCTGCCCCATATGTCCCAGACCTGCGACCATGGGGCATCCAGGGCCAACAGGCCTTTCTCTTCATCTTCAGGTCACCATCCTTAATGGCTCAGACATCCACTCCCTCTACAACGTCTCAGGAGAACAGGTGAGGACACCGTTGCTGCAGCTCTGGACCAATAGTGTCAAACTTCCCACTTTCTCTGGAGCCACTGAACTTCCACTCACAGGTCCTCTCGATGCTGTTTCCTAACCGAACCTTTTTCTAACCCAGTGCTGTCCTTTGTCCCCACAGATGGCCTCCTACTTTGGCTATGCTGTGGCTGCCACTGATACAAATGGAGACGGGTGAGGGATGGGAAAGGGTGCATGTCCCAGAGCTGGGCAGGAAGAGCGGGGATGGGACAGGGCAGGCAGAGTGCTCCCTCTGGAGGCTCACTCATGCTTGCATTTTCCTTGGTCAAGGCAATGAGAGGGCAGAATGCTTAGTTCTTACTCACAGGAGGGAGCCTGGGGATCCAGAATGCCTGGGATTTCCTGTGAAGGGGTGGTAAACTATGACAGGACAAGGTTATCAGGGTGCTTGCTTGGGTCTGCCCTTTTCTGCAGGCTAGATGACCTGCTGGTAGGGGCACCCTTGCTCATGGAGCGGACAGCTGATGGGAGACCTCAGGAGGTGGGCAGGGTTTACATCTACCTGCAACACCCAGCTGGCATAGAGCCCACACCCACCCTCACCCTCACTGGCCAAGATGAGTTTGGCCGATTTGGAAGCTCCTTGACACCCCTTGGGGACCTGGACCAAGATGGCTACAATGGTAAGTGTCATGGTCTGTGGGGCTGAAGTTTGCAAGGGAGGGGCTGATTGGTCAGGAACTTAAGGGGAGGGTTTCTGTGGACTAAACTAACTACTCTTGACTTTCCAAGCGTATTGGAGTTTAAAGAGATTTAGAACAGGAATTGACAGGTAGCTGTGAGGGGAGGGGGATGGTATCCGGAGGTTTTGTGGTAGGGATTTCAACCCCTGACCTAACTTGATGACAAATGTGTGTTATATCTTGCAGATGTTGCCATTGGGGCTCCATTTGGTGGGGAGACCCAGCAGGGAGTTGTGTTTATATTCCCTGGTGGCCCAGGAGGACTGAGCACTAAGCCTTCACAGGTTTTGCAGCCCCTGTGGGCAGCTGGCCATACTCCAGACTTTTTTGGCTCCGCCATTCGCGGAGGCCGAGATCTGGATGGCAATGGATACCCTGGTAAGTTGTACCCCTTCATTTTAGACGTTAAGCTCCAGGGTGCAATTCTCAGCAGCTGCCACCAGATGGTGCAGTCCTCCTTGAGCCTTGAAACTGGAAAGCCTAGGAAGAAGGCATCCTGATTTGGGGCTTGCTGTAAAAGGTTGTACCTTGGCTTTTTGCAGATCTAATCGTTGGGTCCTTTGGTGTGGACAAGGCTCTGGTGTACAGGTATGAACTCAGGGAGACTGAGGCAGCCTGGGGAACTAGAAATGTCCCTTTAGAACTAAGATTGGGAGCATCAGTACAGAGGGAACTGGGTGCCTAGCCCTCAGAGGAGCCTTAATTCTATTTACCACACATCCACTCTCTGCAGGGGTCGGCCTATCATATCCGCCAGCGCATCTCTCACCATCTTCCCCTCCATGTTCAACCCAGAGGAGCGCAGTTGCAGCCTGGAAGGAAACCCTGTGTCCTGGTGAGCTGAGCCAGGAACCTGCAGAGATCTGTACCTGTCAGTGGGTGGGGTGCCATGTCTGCCTCAGGAAGGAACAAGGGGGGGGGGGTGACCTTGTCTGGGTCTTTCTGAGGCAGGTAGGAATCCAGTTCCAGTTACACTCAGCACTTTCTCCTCGTCTTTCTCCAGCATCAACCTTAGCTTCTGCCTCAATGCCTCTGGAAAACATGTCCCCAACTCTATAGGTAAGGGAGATTGCTTGGGCATGTCAGGCCATGGAGTGGGATGGAAGGCCCGAGTCCAGAGGTAGGAGAGACAGACTCACACCATGTTTCCTGGCCATAGGCTTCGAGGTAGAACTCCAGCTGGACTGGCAGAAGCAGAAGGGAGGGATTCGTCGGGCACTGTTCCTGGCCTCCAAGCAGGCCACCCTTACCCAGACCCTGCTTATCCAGAACGGGGCTCGGGAGGACTGCAGGGAGATGAAGATTTACCTCAGGGTATGGCTTGAGGGTGGGGGTGGACTGGCCTGGGCGGATGGCCATATAGAACAAAAGATCTTGGCAGAGTGTGTGTATCCTGTCTATCTGTCTGTCTGTCTGTCTGTCTGTCTCTGTGAAGGGCATTGGGTTCTTGGGAGGCTAAAGAAGCAGCTCTTCTGTCAGAAGATCCAGACACAGGTGCCTAGACCCGCAGAGCACTGGGGATTGTCAGATTTGGGTCTTGAGAAGATAAAAAGAGAAGTGAGGTCAAGAAGCAAGACCACTGAGCCCCCGAGTCCCTCATCTTGTGCACTCTCCCCTGGTTCTAGAATGAGTCTGAATTCCGAGACAAACTCTCACCAATTCACATTGCCCTCAACTTCTCCTTGGACCCCAAAGCCCCCATGGATAGCCATGGCCTCCGGCCAGTCCTACACTACCAGAGCAAGAGTCGGATAGAGGACAAGGTAAGGGAAGAACTTGGGAGGACAGCCCTGGCACCCGAGGCAGGGCCCTGGGAAAGGGGTGGTAGGACCCCTCTCAAAGCTGTCCTGCTCCCCAGGCCCAGATCTTGCTGGACTGCGGTGAGGACAACATCTGTGTGCCTGATCTGCATCTGGATGTGTATGGGTGAGTGGGGCTGTCACATAAGTCAGGGACACCGTAGCTGTGAGGTCTGAAAGCATCTCTGGGTTTCAGCTCTGTCTACAGCGAGCATTCATGTCTCTGGCTCTAGACAGATGAAGCTCAGTACTGCGCATGCGACCTCTCCACTTACGCTTGCCAGAGCTAGGGCCCAGTCATCAGGGCTAGTCCTACTGCGCTACTACCGTGCCCCATTGCTTTCGGTTTGTGGATTCACTCTTCAGTGTCCTTACCCCATGTCCCCTCCAGGGAGAAGAAACACGTATACCTGGGTGATAAGAACTCACTGAACCTGACGTTCCATGCCCAAAATTTGGGTGAAGGTGGCGCCTATGAGGCTGAGCTTCGGGTCACAGCCCCTCTGGAGGCTGAGTACTCAGGACTTGTCAGGCACCCAGGGGTGAGAAGGGACTCTAAAGTGGGACTGCAGTGGTGACCCCTCTCCAGAGGGGTGCCAAAGCCTGACTGGCCTGTGCCCGCCCGTCCCCAGAACTTCTCCAGCCTGAGCTGTGACTACTTTGCTGTGAACCAGAGCCAACAGCTGGTGTGTGACCTGGGCAACCCCATGAAGGCAGGCACCAGTGTAAGTCAGGGGTGGGGAGGGGAGGCTGGAAAGAGCCCAGGACAGGGTCCTGCTGCCCCACCTGAACACGTCCAACAGTCCCTTTCCCTCCCTGTTTCACAGCTCTGGGGTGGCCTTCGGTTCACTGTTCCTCATCTTCGAGACACAAAGAAAACCATCCAGTTTGACTTCCAGATCCTCAGGTAGAGTGACCGGACCCAAGCTGGGACTCGAGAGTGAGAGGGCAGAGAGGGGCAGGTGCAGAGCCTGGTCCCTGGGGTTCCCATCAGATCGCTTCACCCTTGCCTCCATCCCACAGCAAGAACCTCAACAACTCACAAAGCAACGTGGTCTCCTTCCCACTCTCTGTGGAGGCTCAAGCCCAGGTCTCCCTTAACGGGTCAGTGGAAGCAGAATGGGGCCTTTGGAGGGAAAGGTGCTGGGCTTCTAGGGAAGGACTGGCATCCCTCTTGCCTGCTCTAAACCGTCCTCCTCCTCAGTGTCTCCAAGCCGGAAGCTGTGCTCTTCCCAGTCAGCGACTGGTATCCCCAAGACCAGCCTAAGAAGGAGGGAGACTTGGGCCCTGCTGTCCACCATGTCTATGAGGTGAGGAGGGTTGGGAGACAAGCCAGGGTCAAGCTACATGAGGGAGAAAGAGAAAGGAGTCGGTATAAGCGACAGCATCTAGGACCTGGGTCAGTGGGGGAGAAGAGGGGAAGGCCTGTTGAGTACTGAGGGCCTATGAGAGATGGCTAGGAGCGGGATACACCAGCTCATTGACTTACAAAGGAGGGCCATATCAGGAGGACCTCTGTGAGTTCTAGGCCAGCATGACCTATGCAATAAGTTCCAGGCCAGCCTGGGTACAGAGTCTCAAAAGTGATGGCTATCATGGATTTTATAGCTGCCTTCAGGTTGTTCCTTCAATTCACAGACAGGAGCCCTGATGCAGTGTGTATGGGTGATGACCCAGACCTGCATATCCAACCAACCTTCTGTTCAGAGGGTTGTATTATTATTCCCTTTCAGCTCATCAACCAGGGCCCCAGCTCCATCAGCCAGGGGGTGTTGGAGCTCAGCTGTCCCCAGGCTCTGGAAGGCCAGCAGCTCCTCTACGTGACCAAAGTGACAGGACTCAGTAACTGCACCTCCAACTACACCCCCAACTCACAGGGCCTGGAGGTGAGGACCTGGGCTTGGGGTGGAGGACTAAGGATGCGGGGCTGGGATAGGTTGCCTGGAGGCTACCGGGAGTGGTGAGGAGACAGACGCCTGGAAGATCTGGAAGGAGAAAAAAGACCTGTATCCACTGCGCTTCTGTCCTTTGGCCTGAAATTGTCTTCACTGTCTCCTGGTGTGCTCCCAGATCTATGCCACCATGTCCTTCCTGTGAGGCTTCTTCAGACCTGTCTGGCCCTCTGAGCACGTGTTTGCTTGTAAACAACACTTAATGAAGTAAGGGCTAAACAGAACACTGTTAAACCTAGGAAAAACCACACACCAAATAAAACTCGAAAGGTCCCCACACTCCTGGAGCTTGCATTTGATGAAGGCTGGTTAAAAAAAAACAAGAAGTAAAAAGAAAAATGTGGCTATTGAAAAGTGGTGAAACCTGGCATGGATATAGCATATACCTATATCCCAGTACTTGGGAGGTGAGGCAGGAGGATCAGAAGTTCAAGATCGTCCTCCCCTGTGTACATGAGACTCAGAGAGAAAAAAAGAAGATGGATAGAAAGTAATGAAAGTGTGAAACTCCCCAGGCATGGTTGTCTTGCCTGTAACCTTAGCACACTTAGAATCTTAATCATCAGCACTTAGAGGAGGCTGGAGCAGGAGGATAACCACAAATTCAAGGCCAAGCCAGTCTACATAGTGAGTTCCAGGACAGCCAAAGCCATATAGTAAGAGCTCTTGAAGGAAAAAAAACGCTGTGGGATACAGAGTTGACCTAGAAGAGGCAGCCATTATCCAGGTGGGACACTTGCCAAGCAAGCCCAAAACTTCAGGTTCAAACCCAGCAAATTAAGCAACGATTCAACTGAAGCCTGAAAGGCAAGGCTGAGGACATGCCTGATGAAGGAAACAGCCAGTACAAAGGCCCTGAAGCAGGAAGGACTTAATGATTTCTTTACATATCTTCTATTTTAGTTGGGAACAGATACAGAAGCAGGGCTCCTGCTCTGGAACTCAGGTTCAGGCTGACTTAAGGGCTGTATGTAATGAGGAAGGAGGGACAGCTAAGAATGTCTCTTCCAAGCCAGGTGGTGGCGGTGCACACCTTTAGTCCCAGCACTCAAGGAGGGAGGTAGAGACAGTCGGATCTCTGTGAGGTCGAAGCCAGCCTGGTCTATAGAGCGAGTTCCAGGACAGCTGGGGCTGTTACACAGAGAAACCCCGTCTCTAAAGAATGTCTCTTGCAGTTGGATCCGGAAAGTTTCCCACACCACCTGCAGAAACGAGAAGCTCCAGGCAGGAGTTCTGCCATCTCTGGGCCACAGGTCCTGGTAAGTCATTGCAGAGAATGAAGTTCATCCCAAGTATTGGACACCTGTTTGAGTTCTCGGGATCACCAGAGCAGAATTCTGGGCTCAAATGCCTTCTTTCTTTCCAGAAATGCCCTGAAGCCAAGTGTTTCATGTTGCGCTGTGAGTTTGGGCCACTGCACCGCCAAGAGAGCCGGAGTCTGCAGCTGCATTTCCGAGTCTGGGCCAAGACCTTCCTGCAGGTGAGGGAGCTTCATGCAGCCCGAATCCCAGCCTTTGAGCCTAGCTGGACTGACCCTGATCTTTCCCTGCTGTCTGCCCTCCCAGCTCTGCTTTGACAACTGTACAAACATACACACCAACTACAGCTCCCCTCCCTCATCCTGGTTCAGACTACTTGTGTGTCCTTGGCGCCACCTCGTGGCCACAATAGGAGCAACTGTTTCCCTTTCTGGCCCTGGTAGAAACACAGTATACAGCCAGCATGGTGAACATGATGGCACTCACTCACCTTTAGTTCCAGCACTCAGGAGGCAGAGGCAGGTGGATCTCTGTGAGTTCGAGTCAACCTGGTCTACAAAAAGAGTTCCAGGCCAGCTAAGGCTGCACAGTGAGATCCTGTCTCAAGAAAAATACAATAAATAAATAACTACACACGCAAAAAGAAAATCAGGCTAGATGTGGTGGCACGTGTTTTAATCCCAGCACTAGGAAGGCAGGCAGATTTCTGAGTTCGAAGTCAGCCTAATCTACAAAGCAAGTTCCAGGACAGTCAGGGCTACGAAGAGAAACTTTCTCAAAGGAAGGAAGGAAGGAAGGAAGGGGAAAGCAGTAGAGGGAATAGGAATGTAGGTCAGTGGTAGAGTACATACCCAGTCCATAGGCCTAAACACTAGAGTGGGTGGGGCTGGGGAGATGACTCTGAGGGTAAAGCACTTACATGCGAGTATGATGACCAGGGTTCAAATCCTCAGCATTCACATAAATGAATGCCTAGCTGGTGTAGTAGCCACCTCTATGTAATCCCAGCACATAGGAGGCAAAATCAGGGAATCCCCACAGTCAGCTGGCCAGACAATTGAGGAGAAATGGTGATCTTTGGGTTCTAGGTTCAATGAGGAAATAAGAGAGAGTCTGTCTCAATATCTGACATCAGCTCCTAACCTACCCACACATGTACACACACCATCCACACACGAGAGACAGAGAGGTAGAGAGCCTGCCTCAATGTATGGACTTCAGCCTATGACACACACACCATACACAGGAAGGAAAAGAAGAAGGCCTGGGAGGTCGCTCAGTGAAAGGGTAGAGGTGCCTGCCTTCAAGCCTAACAACCTGAGTTTGAGCTACAGGACCCCTGTTACAGAAAGAGAGAACTGACTCCCTCTGGTTTCAACAAACAAGCTGTGGTATGTGCGTGCCCAAGCACACACAAGTACATAAACCAATGTTTTAAAAAAGGATCGAGGATTGAGGAGAGGGCTCGTGGGTAAACAAACTAGTTGTTCCGTCCTGACCACTTGGGTTCAATTCCTGGAACCTACAGAAAAGGCTTAGTTAAGTGAGTCATCTAGCCTAGAGTATGTAGCGCAGTGGTAGAAACAAGAGTGATCTGCCTCAACTAGGTGAAAGGCCAAAACTAACTTGTAGAAGTTATCCTCTGACCTCCATGTGTGTGCCATGGAACATGTACACGGGCATGGGTACATGCATACATACATAGAGAACACACATATGCACATACACACATGTACGCAAATAAACTGATTTTTAAAAAAATTTTAATGGAGTAGGAGACGAGATGAATCCATAGTGAACTGGCAAGCAGAAGCAGGAAAAGGAAAAAGCCATCATTTACTGATCACAATTTACGGATCAACCATAGTCGTGGATGTTAACCCATTAATTGTTTTAAAAGATATTGAACATATAGCCATCTGATTGGGCATTATTCAGTTGTAAATACTCAATTTTTTTCACAAGGAACATTAAGAGAATCAGTGAGTGAGCCCGTAATAGGGAGTTTGTCACATCCTGAGACAAACTGTGGGGAAGCCCTGTGTCCTCTAGATCCCAAGAGGGGCTGCCCTGACCACCTTTCTCCACCCACAGCGGGAACACCAGCCATTTAGCCTGCAGTGCGAGGCTGTATATGAAGCCCTGAAGATGCCCTACCAAATCCTGCCTCGGCAGCTGCCACAAAAGAAACTTCAGGTGAGTTCAAGGTCAAAGGTCTGGGTCAAAGAAGGCAGGCTCAAGAATGTCCAAAACAGGATGAGGACATGAGTAGAGGCTGATCTTGCTTTGTGCAAGTATTTCCTGCCTTTGTAGGTCCAGAAATAAAGTGATCAGCCAGATTAACGTGTGTCTCTGCTTTGGAATTCACAGCCTAGAGGGCAGTGACATCAGTGTGACATTGTGTCAGACAGTCTATGGGAACATGTCATAGAAATACCTGAACCCAGTCTTACAGATTCAGAGCAGACTTCCTGGAAGGAGTGGTGTACAAACTGAGGCCTAAAGAAACTAATTAGGCTAAATGTTCCAGAAAGAAAGATTCTGGGTGGAGAAAACAGCAGATGTGAAAACACAAAAACAAATGAGCAGTGAATGTCTGTAATCCCAGCACTCAGGAGGCAGAGGCAGGAGGATCTAGGCCAACCTGGTCTACAGAGAGAGTTCCAAGACAGCCAAAGCTACACAGAGAAACCCTGTCTCTCGAGAAAAAAAAAAAAAAAAAGGACACTTTTGTGTGCTTCAGACTCTCCCATCTTTAAGTTCAGGATGCTGTTAGCTAAAAATGAGAGTTAGGTCCAGATCTAACAGCCAATAGTAGACAAGAATAGGGTAGGAAGGATTTATGTGCTCTCAAAGTCATCTGGCTTGTCCCCAGGTGGCCACAGCTGTGCAGTGGACCAAGGCAGAAGGCAGCAACGGTGTCCCATTGTGGATCATCATCCTAGCCATCCTTTTTGGCCTGTTACTCCTAGGTCTGCTCATCTACGTCCTCTACAAGGTCAGCCACACCCTTCCCCTGACTTTGGCTGCCCTCCTACCAGGCTCTACCATTTATGCAATAGAATCCAAGAATCCACCCTAATATTTGTTTTCCAGCACAGACCCCCATCTCTGCCCAGGGTGCTCACACCCCCACCCTGTCTTTTATTATTGGACCCAGTGTGCAGCCCCCAGTTTAGAAAGAAGCCTCCAGTCTCAGAATAAGTTTGCCAACATTGCAAAACCGCAGATGGCAAATACATGATGGCATTTGTGCTGTCATTTCCTCGAAAACCCTGTGGCAGTTAACAACAAATGATCATATCCTACAGGTGGCAGCTACTGCTAGGCAATCTTTTCCTAACTGAAGGCTTTTTAAAAACTGATAAAGGATTGCCCCATAATGAACCCCTGATTTGAGACCACCCACATCCATTGAACCCCTTGGCAAAGTGAAGTATTCAGAACCCACCTTAGCTTCTGATAGGGAAGCTGGAGGCAGGAGGGTCATCATCCCCCTGATCCCTAATAGAGTCAATATGATCGCTCATTGTGCCTCCTTTCCATCAGCTTGGCTTCTTCAAACGCTCCCTCCCGTACGGCACAGCCATGGAAAAAGCTCAGCTCAAGCCTCCAGCCACCTCAGATGCCTGAGTCCTCCTGATCCCAGACTCCTGATCCTGAAGAGCCAGTCCCCTACCTGCCAATAGGGAGGGACCAGGCACTTCCTGAAGGTGCTGAGGGCTGGGGAGGAGCTATTCTCCCTAGCCCAGAGACATACTTGAAGGGCCAGAGCTGGGGGGACAAGAAGCTGGGGCTCCTTCCCCCTCCATGCACTGTGAAGGACCCTCGTTTACACATGCCCTCTCTTGGATGGGGGCCTCAGGTCCAGGGACAGAAGCCCCAGCCTTTCTTCAGCCTTCGCATTTTGGAGACTTACAAAAGCAACTTGGAGCCGTAATTAGGGAATACAGTCATGGTTCTCTGGGCCAGGCATGTCACCAGGACTTCCTGTCTGGTTCCAGCCTGCAAAGATGTATCTTTGGCCTTCCCAGAGATCCAAAGGAAGCCTGCAGCTAAGAGCCTGAGTCTTGGGAAGTGAGACCTGGCAGCTCCAATAGCCCCCATCCTGGAGGGCCGATAAAGAACACTAATGATGGATGGTGCTGCAGGACCAGCTCAGGACAATTCCCAAACAAAGGTCGATGCTGGCCCAGACCCATTTCCAGGGCAGTCAGAATGAAAATGGAGCCAGACCTAGTCTGGGGCCTGGGGCTGACTGAAGCCCAGTCTCAGATTCTAAGAACCTACGCTCACAGACCCAGGGTGACATTTGGGTCAGCTGCAGACTGGGCCTAGGGTTCTTCATCCCTGACTTAGGACAAGTCAGGAATTGCCCAGGATCCTGACCAGGCCACAGTGGCAACAGATATGGAACCTCAGCCTGGCCAAACTCAGGCTCACTCATTCCCCAGAGAATGGGGAGTCCTAGGCTTGCTGGACCTGGGTTCTGCCCACCAGCTGCACTGATGCTGCCTCCCCTACCCACCCCTTCCCTCTGCTCCAGAACCCACCCCCAACTTATTTAAACTCTGTTGCAAGTGCAATAAACCCCACCCACTGCCCCCACTGACCAGAGTTGCAGTCTGTCCTCCCACCCTTCAGACCCATCCTAGACCCAAAAAAATAGGGCAAGAAGGAAATGTCTATCTCCCATGCGCCTATTCCCACCAGGAGCCAGGAGTGTGATTTCCCCACCCCAGAAACTTCTAGATGATTAAAAGGGAACTAGGTGTGGTGGCACATGCTTATAATCTCAGAGTTCTGGAGATGGAGGCAAGAGGATCAGTTCAAAGTCATCCTTAGCTATGCACTACAGAATAAGTTCAAAGCTTTTCTGGGCTACATGATACCCAAAGGAGACAAAGAATAGAAGCAGAGAAAGGAGACAGGTAGTGGTGGTACACACATTTAAATCCCAGTCCTCAAGAGGCAGAGGCAGGCAGGTCTCTGAAGTTGAGAATGAGTTCTAAGACAGCCAGGGCTACACAGAGAAACCCTGTCTCACAAATAAATAAATAAAAGTGGGGAGCCTGTCTCTGTCCCTCCTCCAGCCCCTGCCAGGTCTGGACTTCCCTACCACCAAGGAGCAAAGAAAGATTCTCCTCTTTGGGGAGAATCATGAAAAAGTGCAGTGAGTTCCCAATGAAAGGTGAAGAAAGACCACAAAACAATCACCTGGGCTTCCCTCCAATCAGAAATAAAATGAAAGGAAAGCCCATTAGTTTTTTGTTTGTTTTGCACGTTTTGTGTGAATGTATGGGATGGGCCACATGCCACAGCACGAATAATGGTCAGAAGACAACTTGAAGGACTTGTTTTTCTTCCATGTGAGTTTAAGAATCAAACTCAGGAGCTGGAAAGATAGCTCAGCGATTGAGAGCACTGTCTGCTTTTCCAGAGGATCTGAGTTCAATTCCCAGCAACCACCTGGGAGCTAACAACTGAACTCCAAAATCTGACACCCTCACACAGACACGCATGCAGGCAAAATACCAATGCACATAAAATGAAATATTTTTTTTTAAAGGACCAAACTCAGGCCAGGCAGTAGTGGCATACACCTTTAATCCCAGCATTTAGGAGGCAGAGGCAGGAGGATCTCTGAGCTCAAGACCAGACTGGTCTACAAAGAGAGTTCCAGGACAGCCAGGGACATCAGAGAAACCATGTCTGGTGGTGGGGGTGGGGTGTGTGACAAGGACCTTTAATCAATCGCCAGCCTGCTGGGGGTTGTGTATTAAAGTGCAAGGGCAAGGTGAAGGTCATTAAACAGTTCACTCATGTGATTTCTAAATTTTTCTTCCTGTGCATGTGTATGAACTTGTAATCGGGCATGTGAGTTCACCACACACATGAGAGGTCAGAAGACAATCTTGAACTTGAATGTTGATCCTTGCTTTCTACCTTGTTTGAGGCAGTCTCTTGTTTAGTGTTGAATACCATAGGCTAGCTGGCCTGTGAGCTTCTGGCTGTTCTGTGTCTCCATTCTCCTGTGTCTCCAGGGTATGATGAGATTTCAGACACCTGCTATTATACAAGTCAGGCTTTTATGTCAGCTTGCATGATAAGCATTTCACCCACATCTAACCTCCATCAATCCTGTGATGGTACTATTACCCCCATTTATTCTAAGAGACACTGAGGCCCAAAGCTTATGTAACTTGCCCAAGGTCACACTGCATAGCAGAAAAAGTCATGTTCAGTGTTGCCTGTCTGTGAAAGTCCTTATTCTTAACCAACATGCCAGGGAGCTCCTGTCTTCAAAGAGAAATCATGAAACATGAGAGAGCCTGAGAATCCTCTTTCTCAAGGTCTGTCCTGATGTGCAAAAAGCTGAATAGGACAGATAGTTATGCCATACTAGACCAGGATTCTACCACCAGAGGGCAACATAGCCACAAATTTCTGGGAATTTGTGGCAGGGAGGTATGAGACCCAACTCTCCCCTCAGCAGGGCTATTATTAACTCAGACTCTTAGGACATCTTTAAATATTCCTGCAGGTAAGCTACCTGAACCACACTCCAGTCTAAGGTCTTGGAATCCTATACTTACAGGGTGTCTTTCCAGAACCCACAAAGGAAGAGGACTGAGACAGCAGAGACACAATGGGACAGAGAAGTACCCAGTATGTCCAGGGACAGCAGGGACTCTCAACGGGGGAGATCCCACTTGGGAAGGTTGACACCAGTTCTAGGGACTGGATCTGAAATGTCCCCCACTATAATGAGGAAATGAAGAAGGGAAAAGGGCTGGGACTGTGGACTGGTGTCATGGGTGTGTCAGTATATGGGGCCTTTGCTTCTGAAGAAGGTGACAAGACCTCTCTCTAATTAAGAAATTCCTTGGGCTCAGGCATGCCACAGATGTGATCTAGTACCAGCATGGGCTCTGAGCTTATCTTTAACTCTCTCTTCTGAGCTGAGCTGCCTCTCCTCAACCTCCTGACCCTGCCCACTCTGAAGTCTGAGCAATCCAGAGAAGCATAGTGGCTGTGGAGATCAGCTGTCTGAACCCTCTCCTTGTCTGTGTTGGTGAAGGTGGAAGAGAGGAGGGAAGAAAGTGAACAGAGCAGCTGGAGATGTGGGAGGGGGAAGGGGCTCAGAAGAGGCAGCTGGCAGGCGGGAAGATGATCTGGGGGTCTCAAGTTTCTTGACATCAATTAGGGCAGTCAGCCTGGACTCATTAGTAGCCTGGGGTGCAGGGCTCATCAATAATGAATTCACCCCACACAATGCTCCCCCTCCCAGCTGCCTGCAAGGTCACCCCACCCTCCAGCCAGCTGCCTTCTGTAGTAAGCTAAGCAACCCCTCTTCTGAGTTCTGCCTAACTCAGAGACCCTAGGGACAGTGTGGGCAGGTGGACCAGGCCTGAAGGGCAAAGGGTGCTCTCAGACCAACCAAGGCCCTTGTTTAGTTTGCCCCTTCTCCAGGGAAGAAACCTGGAAGAGGAGAGGAGCAGCTGAATCTAAGAAACAGGGTCTCTGTCAATGGAAGTGCAGTGGGATCCTGACAGATTAGAGTCAAAGCAAGAGGATTGCCTCTGGTAGATGCAGAGGCCCCCCTCCTCCCTAAAGCAGGGTCACAGGACCCAAGGACCAAGGTACTGGCATCCATCACTCACTTAGCTTTGAGCTGGAGCATCCAGGCAGTTGCAAACAACTTTTCACACAAAGGAAGGCAGGCATTGTGGGGGCTCAGAAAGGAACCCAAACTTCTGGCACCTAAATTGGCCATCAAACCCCAACTTCCCTCCAGAAACTAGAAATGCCCTCTTTTCTTGAACATTTCTGATCCAATCCTACCACTCCTGACCCTGGTCTTCACCCTTGCCCTCACCCTCCCTAAGCCCTGACTGTTCCAATTCCTGGTCTCATCCCCTTTTCCTCAGGCTGGGGTTGGCCTAAAGCTGGCTGCTTGGCCTTCTGGGAACTCTGCCTGCTGCCCTCCCTCTTGTGGCAGGTACAGACAGGTTCAGGCTGCAGCAGCTGCGTCTTCCCCAGATGTCTCCCCGACTCTCACACTACAGCCTCCTCCTGTTTGTCTTAGGAACACCCCATCCCCAGACGTTCTCCCCAGCCGTCTACACCCCTGCCGCCTGAATCAAAGCTCTCCTTGGTGGAGAAATGTCCTGCATCTAAGACCAGGATAGACACGTCTCCTCCCCAGCTCAGTCCAGGACATCTCTAGAATGTTGTATCTTGCTGAGTCTGACCTTCTGTCGTTTTCCAAATGCCCTAGCGATCGCCACTGCAAAGTCCTATTTCTACCTCCTCAGGACCACTGCTTGCAGTCTGTTCACTCAGCTTCCCTAAGAACCCTGTCAGAGATCAACCCTGGATCGATCTTCAGACCCCCAACTCACCTCTGACACATCCTGCTCCGAAGCGGAAGAACAAACTAGGACCCAGGCATCGTCACTGCACCCCCTGGGCCCAGTGGAGCATCACTATCCCACTCAACCGAGGGGCTCTGTCACTCCCCAGAACACTTAGAATCCTGGCCCCCTATCAGCCGAGAATGCGTCTTCCCGCCCTCAGACTGAGCCCCTCGGGAACCTAGGTATTTTAGTTTCCAGCCTCCTCCATCGTCTCACACCATCTTGTTCCCCAGCCTCAGCTAAAGCGACATCGTAAAGCCCAGAGATTGGGGGCGGCAACTGAAAGGCTGGAGGAAGTGGGAGGCGGCCAGGACGCCCCCTCGCGGAGCCCCGAGTACCAGGGTGCCCCCTCCGGTCTTCACCTGCTGTGGGCCCCGCCCCCGCTCCGCCTCGGCCCGCCCTGCTCCTCCCCGACTCCTCCTTCCCGTACCCCCAGTCCAGCCAGAACGGCCCCCGGGACAGAACGACGCGGAACCCCGGGCGCCTGGGTCCCCAGCATGATCCTCGGTGAGTGGTCTCTGCGACTCTGGGCTGCGGGCATCTGGTTCCCTCTCACTGGGTCACCTTCCCCCCCCCACTCCCCCGCCTCGGCATCGCGGTGACTGCGGCCGCCGGTCTGCCACCCGTTCCCCCTCCCCCCTCATCTGGCTGCACATCTGGGGTCCCCTCTTCCCCTCCTCCCCTAGCTGAGGCTTCTCCTGGTAATCTAGGGAGGGGCAAAAGGAAGGCCGAGAGAGTGAGACCCCCGCCCCATAATGAGACTATTGCGTATTCATGAGGCTCATGAATATTATAAGACAGTGTACGAGAGACTGGGGGAAGGGGCTGGTCCTGGCCTGGTGGAGTTGAGGTAAAGGTTCTGACCCGTCACCCCCAGCGCCTTCCCCCACCCTTGGCTTTGGCACTCCAAGAGCCTTCTGGGCCCAGGATAAGGGGGAAAGGAGGAAGTGGGGGGCGGAGGGAGAAGATGCTGGGTGTAGCTTCGAGGTGAGTGTGGTGGGAGGTGGGAACCTGACGGGTGAAGATAAGGGGGCTGGGTAAAAAAGCGGGTGGGAAACTGTCCATCCCGGGCTCTTGCGGCTTAGATCCTGTCTCCGCAGCCATCCTGCCCCGACACGCCGGGACCTGCCCCTCTCTCCCTGTGCCGGCTGCCTGGGCCCTTCTTCCCCTCTTCCTTCTTCCCTTTCATCCCAGACCTGGGTCCGGGGCTACTGGAGGCCGAGGGACGAAGGACAGTCGGAGTGGGGGAAGGGAAGTCCCGCTGGGCTCTGACAGCCAGCCCGTCCGCCTTGGCCACCCCATCTTCATGACCTACATCGGGAAGGGAGCCCCAGGGATGGGGGAGGAGAGGGCCTAGCTGTACTCTGGGCTCTGCAGCAGCCCCTGCTCACAACCCTGCCGCCACAGCAAAGCAGGGCCTGCTCTGACCTCTGACCTCCACCCTGGCTAGGCCGGTTCCGGGCCCCTGTTTACGGTGGAGCCCCCTACCACTCTTAGACACCTGTGGTCTCCCTGCCCCCATTGAGGACATTTGGCCCTATGCTGATGCCGGAGGCTCCCATCCCTCTCCCAAGACCCTCTGTCCTCTTTCCATTGACTATGTGCCCCCACTAAGTTCACTAGAGCGTTTCTCCACTCTGCCTTCCTTCCTCCCTCTAGCTGCGGGCTCAGCCTCTCATGACTTTCCTGCCTTGCTCCCGGCAGCTGGCCACCCATCACAGCTATTTAAATGAATGAGAACCAAGCCACCTCCTCCCCAAGGCTGTCTCTAGTAGGTGGTCTGCCCTTCTATGGATACTGTCCCAACACAGTTCAGACTCAGGACCCTAACACAGACTCCATATTCTGCCAGCCTGTGTGATCCCTAAGCTCTAGCAGTACCATGGGACAGCTGAAGAGGTGACCATGCTGCTTGCCCAGACCTGGCGAGGTTAAGCTTTATTTGCCCTAGTCAAGAGGCCCCAGAGAATTAGGTGTCAGAGACCTGGAGGAGCCCTGCCAACACCCAGCCACAAGAAGACTGAATCCAAATTCTCTGACATTGGACCCTGACACCAGCTGGCCTCCATCATTTCCCTAGAGGACGCTATAATTAACTCCTTCCTAGTGACAAGTCCACATAGGGGTGGGAGCCAGTAGTACCCCATACACCTTGGCCTCTCCACTCTTACATCCCAACCCTCTTTAAGAAGGAAGGGGGTGGGGGACTACCAGCCAGGACTCAAGACCCACCTTTCGGACCATACTAGAGTATTTGGGTCTGGATGGTAAGGTCACTGAGTCCTTTACAAGGCAGCCCTACACAGCTCAGCTGAACATGGTGGCTCATGCCCCAGCAAGCTCAGGGAGGAGGCAGATTATTGGGAGTTGAGGCCAGCCTGGGCTAAAGCGTTAGTTCAAGGCCAGCCTGGCCTACAGAGTGAGAACCTGCCTCCAAACAAAATTAAAACACACATAAGAATCAGGGCCTTGGCAGGGTACAGAGGTTGGTGGGGAGGGGAGGGATCTTTGTAAGCTCCAGGCCAGCCCGGTCTTCAGAGTGAATTCCAGAACAGCCAAAGCTACACAGAGAAACACTGTCTCGAAGGCAAAAAAATAAAAAAATAAAAAATCAAGGTGTTGAGGTTCAAGATGGCATTTGTGAGTTCAGACTCCCTGGGCTGCCACCATCCTTTGCAACTAACTCCCGGGTTTAGTGAGGGGCGGGAGCCTGGAGAGGGCGGGCCCTACCATTCAAGGTCTTCAGTCAGCCCCTCCCATCCTAGGTACCGCCTCCCTCAAGGCCCCACCCCCACCCACATATACCCCGAGGTTATTAGGGCCAGTGTTTTTAGTTGTGCATAATCATCCCCTTGTCTCTTTCATCTTTAACTTCAAAGCCTTTCCAGTCCTCAGCCTGCCTTCCGCCAGGATGAAGGAATTGAGGCAGAGGGGACAGATTCATTGGACTTGACCAAAAGGATAAGACAGTGCTTCCCCCACTAGCCTGACCCTGATTTGGGGCATTTCTGGGAAAGAAGCTAAAAGGTTTGAAGGAGAAAAGAGATGTTTGGCATCAGAGGCTGATTCCCAACTTAGCCCCAGAGTGTGCCTTTCACCACCATGGGCCTAATCATCCACAGCCCCAAGACCAAAACCACTCTCATTTCACTTGTGAGACAGTCACTAAATCACAGCCCTGCCCTAAAGCCTTCCCTGATCCTGCCCTACCCAGATGGGCCACTCCCAGAGACAGCTCAGTTCATGGCAGACTCACCCGCCCAGACTGTTCCCATTCTCTACACCAGACCTGCCCAGTCCACCCAAGAAAGCCCAGGAGCCACGACTCAGGACCTGGCCATGCCTTTTAGGGGAGGAAGGAAAAGAGAAGCCCTCACTGAGATGCAGGAAGCTAGGTATGGCTTGACTGTGGAATACAGAATACAAGAGGAAGCTAGGTATGGCTTGACTGTGGAATACAGAATACAAGCAAAACGCCCAGAGCTAAACAGGGTTTTTGGAACGGACAGGTGGATGCCTGGATGCTGCCCAAGGGTCTGCAAGCTCACCCCTCTATAGTACCTTGGAAGCTGTCTTGAATGTAACAATCCCCCATGGAGCGGGGTGGGGCTGTGTCTGCTGGAGATAATTACACTAATGAGCTTCCCTCTAGAGTGGCCTGCAGAGCCCGACCCTAACTCCTCCCAACCCTACCTCACCTGGGTGCCACACGTAAACACAAGCACACAGTTTGTTCTCCTTCTCTTCCTCCAATCCTGAAGCCCTCACCCCCACATGACAAAGCCTTGGATTTGTTCCTTTTCCTCCTCTTCTTTTTTGTTTTCCTTTTCTTTTCCAGTCTGACCAGAAAAACATAATGTTTGAAAACTTTACTTAGGAACAAGACCCATCCAAATTCCCCACTTGCTGTGTGACCTTGGTCTACTAATGCCCCCTATCTGAATCAACTGTCATCATTTATCATAAACGAATTCATTTATTCAGCAAACATTTATTGAATGCTCAGTGTGTCGTGCCAGCACTTTACACAGACTCGTTCAATCTTGTCATCAACTCTAGGAGGCAGGTACTGTTATTCTAGTTTGACAGATGAGAAATGAGAGTGAGCAAGTCAGAGAAACCAGCTACTACTCAGCCAGTTAACACAGTGAAACCATCTATCTCATGGGAGACTGTGTAGTCTGGTCAATGAATAAGCCTCAGGAGGCTGGAGAGATGGCTCAGCAGTTAACAGCACTTGCTGCTTTTGCAGAGGATTTGAGTTGGGTTTAGTACCCATATGGTGGCTCACAACCAACAGTTAGTTAACTCCAGTTTCAGGGGATCCAGCACCCTCTTCTGGCCTCAGGGGATACCCAGCACACACACACACTGCACTTTGATACATGCAAGCAAAGCACTCATACACATAAAAATAAAATAAGTAATTTTTAAAATGCCAGTTGTGGTAGTGTACACCTTAATCCAAGCACTGGGAAGGCAGAGGCAGGCAAATGTCTGTGAGTTTGAGGGCCAGCCTGGTCTGTGTGTCTGTATAGATAGTGGATGCCAGGACAGACAGACAGACAGAGAGAGAGAGAGAGAAAAGAATAAGCCAGGCCGTGGTGGTGCATGCTTTTAGTCCCAGCACTCGGAAGGCAGAGGCAGGCAGATCTCTGTGAGTTCGAGACCAGGCTGGTCTACAAGAGCTAGTTCCAGGACAGACTCCAAAGCCACAGAGAAACCCTGTCTCGAAAAAAGAAAAAAGAAAAAGAAAGAAAGGAAGAAAAGGAAAAGAAAGACAGAAAAAGAATAAGCTTCAAAAAGTGGCAACTATTTTCCTCAGAAAAGGGTTGATATGCCTGAGGCTGGAGCCAAGAGCCCCGGAGTGAGGTACCAGGAATTGAACCCAGAGCCTCCCACATGCTAGGCAAGTGCTGCACCACTGAGTCTCAGCCTAGAAGAGCCCTGTTCCTGCTCACCCAACCCCTAAGATGTCATCTACCCCTCTCCCACCCCAGATTTCAGAGTGCAGGGGCTCTGAGAGTCTGGGGACAGTCCCCCACTGGCTCCTGCCTCCCTTCCTGCACTCTGCCCTCATCCCACCCCTTTGGCCTACTTCTCTTCTCACCCCAGCCCTGCTCCACATCAGTTCCCGGCTACAGAGAGCTGAGTGGCTTCTGTCTGTTCTCCTCCATCTCTCTCTCCTCCTCTAAAGCTAAATGAGGACTCCACACCCAGGAAAAGCAAGGAATAGCTTTGCCCATTCTCTGCTTAAACCAGATGCAAGCCTGTGCTCAGCTCTCCGATTCAGCGTTAAATGAGAGCCCTCTGGGAGCAATGTAGCGGAGGAAGAATTTGCTAGAGTGCGACAGGTCTTGATTTGACTCAGCCCTGATACTTAACGCTGTGTGCTGTGTGACATCAGTCAAGTTTTTTAACCTCTCTGAGCCCCAGTCACCTCACATACTCAATGGAAGAAATAACACTGGTTACTTCATAGAATCACAACCATCTCCCAAACTATCTCCAGGGTTCCATGTGATAAGACTCCTGCTCATAGACTGGTACTTAGTGGTTCTTTGAATGCTTCTCTGTGGCTTTTTCTGGAACTCATCTGTCTCCTCTAAATTGGATTTTGGGAGTGGGATCCTAGAGAGTTGACAGCCAGGGACAAGGTCAAGGAGCCAAGCCGTAATACGTGGTGCCCTGGTGTGGAAGTGTCAGCCCCAAACCAGCTGCTGGGAGTGGGAGCAGGGGACGCTGCGAGAGCTAGCACTCGGGTTTCTCTCACCATTCCTGAGGCTCGTTAAGGTTGCCCTGGTGTGCCAGGCAGTGAGGAGGGGTGGGGCTCAGGGGAGAGGCCTGAGAGGAGACCAGGAAGAAGAGGTGATCAGTCTGTCTGTCCCTGTCTTCACCTTCATCTTTCTCACCTTGTGTCTCTGCCCTTCCCACTTTCCAATCTCAGACCTTTCTGTGCCTGTCCCTTTTCTAGTCACCTATTCCTGCTCTGCCACTCGTATCTCTCTATGTATATTCTCCCTCCCTCCCTCCCTCTCTCTCCCTCCCTCTCTCTCTCTCTCTCTCTCTCACACACACACACACACACACACACAACACACCATTCCAAATGTAAAGTATCAGAAGAGGAAATGGACAGGAGGCATTCAGACCCCCAACAGTTCAAAGGCCAAAGGAAAACATCCTATCATCTTCTTCGGGCCTTAGAATTTGGAAACCAAGCTCCCAGCAGCTTTGACCCCTGTCTGCCTCAGGCACACTGGCCTCCAGTCTTGGCATTGGGTGGAAGAGACAGACCCCTCCAGACCTTTCTGGACCTCATTCCCCACCCCCAGCTGTGCCTGAACCCTCCCCACCCCCTCCCTCTCGCTTCAGATTCCCCTAATCCCTGCTCCCCCGCCCTCCCCTCTGCCCCACTTTTCCAGGCCTCTGATTGGCTGATTCTACTGACTGGGCTGGGGGAGGGGGATGGCAAAGGAAGGGGGCAGAGGGCAGAACCAAGGGAAGGGGACACTGTCAGGCCCAGGCCCCTAGGGGGCCAGGGCCAGACCACTGCCTGGGGGCAGCAAGTACCAGCTACCGAAGGTATGACAGGGGTGTCTCTACGGAGGGAACAAGAAAGGCCTGGGAACCCACTACCCTAGGAAGGTCAAGGGAGGTCCAGGGCCAGGCATGCAGTCTCTTGGTCTGGTCTTTGTTCCAGAAACCCCTGCTGCTGGCGGAGAGTGCTGGAGTAGTGGAGGGCAGCAGGAACTGCCCAGCTGGTGGACAAAAGCCTCTTCAGAAGGAAGCTGGGCCAGCAGAAACCCAGAGGGTCTTGAGTACCTTTGAGCTGGGTCCTTCAGGACTCTAGGGGGAAGAGAAGGTTTCAGGGGTGCTACTGAATGGCTAGCTGCACTTTCATTTCCCCTTGGGGTCACATGCAGGCCCTGCTCGCCCCAGAGGCTTTGGCTGATGTTCCTCTTGCAGGGCTGGAACTGAACCCACCCGGTGAGACTAAATGGGTTTGATAGGACTGAGGGGGCTACAGGAGGGCTCAGAGCAAATGGCACCCAGAGAAGTATGACTTGAACAGCATCATGACTTAGGGAGTCAAATGCAGCAGCCTCTTCAATGTCCCCTTCTGGACAGTGAGTTAAGTCACCCACTTGATTCTGTCCTGGAGATGCAACAAACCTTCAAATACCCGGGGAACTCCAGACCAGAGGTAGGAGTTAGGGATTCAGAGTCGGTCCAGGGGCAGAGACTGTCTGCAGAGGACGTCTAGGCTTTCCTTGGGTCTGTAAAAAGCCTAACAGGCTTGGGGAAGGAGGCAGTAGAAGGGGGAAGTGAAAACCGCCCAGAAGGGAAGACCAGCGTGTCCCCAGGCCCACAGTGGGTCTGCTCCGGGAGCAGCAGGGGAAGTGTGTGGATGGTTCACACTCTGGGGGCACACTTCTGAGCATAGGAGCCTCATCTAGTAGTGCTATGAACTTGGGTGGGGCTTACAAGCTTCAGTCTTCCTACTCCTCAGAATGTTTCCTCTGCCCTTCAGGCAGCCTGAGCCGGGCAGGGCCCCTCCCTCTGCTCCGGCAGCCCCCCATCATGCAGCCCCCAATGGACCTCAAGCAGATCCTGCCCTTTCCACTGGAGCCAGCCCCAGCCCTGGGCCTCTTCAGCAACTACAGCACAGTGAGTATGGTCCATTTGTCTCTCCTATGCCCCATGGCCCTGAACCCCCATTGCACTTCTAGGCCTAACTCATCCTGGTTTCCTGTGACCCTGTGTTCCTCACATCTGGTCACTGGGTGGCAAGCATTTGCTGACTCTTTGGTGCTATAGTAACTACAATAACAACAGAGTATTTTCTGAGCTCCCTCTGTCACCCAGGCACTGGTCTGTCCCATTCACCCCTCTGCAAAGTGCTCAGCCATACAGAGAATAAGGACGCTTAAGTGGTGATGTCCTAGGGAGTAAAAGAGCTGAGGATACTGGGTTGGAGAAGAGGGAGGAGTAAGAAGGTTAGCACAGCTGTGGGGGTTTTCCTTTGTGTGTGTGCATGTCCTGTAAGTTTGTATGCTTGTGTGCAACATGACACATATGCAATTGCACAAGTGTAGAGGACAGTGTTTCTGCCATGCTGTGTACTCCGAGCTAGTTAGCCTGTGAGCTTTCAGCTCCTCTCTTCCCATCTCACCATAGGGGTGCTGGAGTTGTAGATGCGCACCACGGCATCTAGCTTTTAATGATGGTCCTAGAGAGCTAGCTCAGATCATCAGGCATACACAACTACTATTTAACGTACCGAACCATCTCCAGCTCTCTAGAGCACACAACTAGGTGGGTAGGATCAGTTTGTTGTAGAACTTGGAGGGGTGGCAAAGTCATCAATAATTAATAAGAAAAGAAACAGAGAGCTACTGCCCATTCTTTAGCAGGGAAATGCCTTGCTTGGTTAGAGTTGTGGTTGAGGAAGATGACTGTGGTAGCCAACGAAGGGGACGAAAGCTTGAGGAGGCTGTCTGGCCTTACAAGCCTTAATGAGCAGTAAGAATGAGAAAGAGAGGAAGGGAAGACTGGTGAGATGTTTTCAAGGAAATATTGACCCACCATGGTAACCAAGTGGCGTTGAGGGGATAAGGGAGAGGAGGTAGTTCAGCTAAGGATGAGTCCAGGGCTCAGACCTATGACTGGGAGGAAGAAATCACCCTGACAGAGACAGCCTAGAAAGGTAGACACTAGTATTTCTGTTTGACAAATGGAGTGGCAGAAGCTGAGTCTCAGGAAGGTTTAGTAACTGGTGGACATTGGTTGACACAATATGTGCCCAAAATGTAATTCAGACAAGCCCCAAATGTGCTGCTTAATATTGCATAAATGAGGTGTGGTGGGGCACACTTGCACTCGGGAGATTTACAAGTTCAAGACCATCCTCAGCCTAGCACACCTGAGACTCTGTCTTTAAAACAGATAGAGAAGGTTCTCTTTAGCCCATAGCTGCAATCCCCAAACTCCTTCCAGAAACCTAAACCAGCATTTGCATTGCATTCTGACTTTTACCAAGTGTTTGTCACATCTTAACCTTTACATAATGCTTTAGGGTGACTGTTGTTGTTAGCCTCGTTTTACAGAACCTAGCACTGACTGTATGAATGCACTGTCCTAGACCCATGCTAACAGGAGGGTAAACTGAAGACTGGTCTATCTTAGTGACCTTATATCCAAGGGGGAGAGAGGCATGCATGCAGCAAAGCAGAAGAAAGGTCATCAATATTGTCACAGAAACACTAACAGGGTTGTGATTTCACCTGGGTGTGGGGGTGCACATCTGTAATCCCAGCACACACAAGGGAGAGGCAAAAAATCAGGAGTTTAAGGTTATTTTCAGCCATATAGCAAATTTGAGGTCAGCCTGAATTGCATGAGACCCAGTCTCAAAAAAAGTGGGTGAAAGGGCTGAAAATACAGCTCAATGGTAAAGAACTTGCCTAGCATGAGTGAGTCCCTACATTCGATTACAAGCACAGAAAAGGAAAAAAAAAATTAACACAACTTAATAAAAACACAGTATTAAGCCGGGCAGTGGCTCAAGCCTTTAGTCCCAGCACTCGGGAAGCAGAGGCAGGCGGTTCTCTGTGAATTCGAGGCCAGCCTGGTCTACAGATCAAGTTCCAGGACAGGCTCCAAAGCTACAGAGAAGTCCTGTCTCAGAAACAAACAAACAAATACAAAAAACATAGCATTGAATATATATTATATTCTCATAACTGTACCGTGTTGAGGCATAGGAGTCAGTTGGTCACTGCCCATGGTTTAGTAGAATTAACAGCAAGTTAACTATAACCTAATGAATATTGAAAGCACTGAGCTTGCATCTGAGTGCAAGGGAGTCAAGCAGGATAAAGGAAAGGAGAAGAAAAAGACTTAACCTAGCTGGGACCAAAAACTCAGGATTTTGACTCTGAAGAATCATTGGTAGTTTTTATTTTGTGTTGTGCTTGCTTTTGTTTTTTGAAATAAGGTCTTACTATGTAGCCTGGACTGGCTCCAAACTCTTCGGGATTCTCCTGTCTCAGCCTCCCAAGTACTGGGATTTCAGACATGTATCACCAACACAAAAAATAGATTATCTCCAGGAAAACACTTCATATACATAAAATAGAACAAAATAAGATCAAACGAAGGGAGGTAGCCATAGAAAACATTCCAGATTGAATCAAATCACATGAACAAGAGCTAGAAAAGAACATTCTGGCAAAGTACAAGTGAGCTGGTGTCATTAGAGCTCAAGGGCCAGGAATGCCATCCCCTATCTAACACTACATTCTTGTTAGTCTCAGCAGTCCTAGTATTGTCCCATCTGTAGATGAAGAACACAGAGGTTAAATGACGTATCTGGGACTCATCCTTAGCCTCTCTGGGGTCGGGATTACAGGTATACGTTTGCCACTCCATTGAGCTGTAACCTGGGGTTTCTTTCCCTCTATTGTTTTTGTTTCTAGTGTCTGTGTGTGCTGACACTCTTACCCCATGAGCGGGAAGGTTGGAGAACAACTTTAGGAGGTAGTTCTGCCCCTCCACTGTGGGTTTTTGGACTTGAACTCAGGTTGTCAGGAATGGCAAGCACTTCCATTCACTCAGCCATTTTGCTGTCCCTACCGTGGAACTTCCAACTCCCAACAGTTCCGTGATGCCATTGCTTCTAGAAGATATAGTTAAAGCTGTGACCATAGCAAGCTGAGACTGTAGCTCAGAAGTAGAACTCTTTACAAAATATTTTGTATTATCTTTAGCTATGCATATGTTTACACAGTGGGCATATGTGCATGAATGCATGTGTTTGTGGAGACCAAAGATATTGATCCCCGAAGCTGATGTTACCTCACATGGGTGCTGGGAATGGAACTCAGGAACTCAGGTAGGGCCTCAGGAAAAGCATCAGATACTCTTAACTGCAAAACCATCTCTCCGGGTCCCTCAGAAGTAGAGCTTCTACCTGTGATGTATGAGGTCCTGGGTCCAATCTTCAGCACTACATTAAAAAGAGAAACTAAGCCAGGTATTGGTAGCACATGCCCTTAATCCCAGTACTCCGGAGGCAAAGGCAGGCATATCTCTGTGAGTTCAAAGCCAACCTGGTCTACAGAGCTACTTCCAGAACAGTTAAGGGTGTTACACAAAGAGACCCTGTCTCAAAAACAAAAACAGAAAAACAAAAAGAAAAGAAAAACTAATAATAATAAATGAATTAGGCATGGTGGTTACACCTGTAACTATAGAACTCAGGAGACAGAGCAAGGGGGTCAAATGTTCCAGGCACACCTGAGCTACCTAGCAAGATAACCTCAAAAAAAAAAAAAAAAAAAAAAAAAAAAGCTGGCAGAAGGGGGTGAGACTGCTCAGTGGGGCCTGAGGCATTTGCCATGCAAACCTGGTGACCTGAGCTCAACCCCTGGAACCCACATAAAGGTGGACCAGAGAACAAATTCCACAAGGTTGTCTTTTGGCTAACACATGTGCACCCCTCCCCGCCCCCACATATAGTAATAAAACAAAATAAAAAGCTTCAAGCCAGGCCTGGTAGCACTGTATTCAAGAAGCTGAAGTATGAGGCTGGAGTCATCAAAAGGAAGGAAAGAGAGACAGAGAGAGAGAAGAGAAAGAAAGGGGGAGGGAGGAAGGAAGGAACCAAACAACAACAAAAAACTAAGAAGGATCACAAGTTCCAGGCCAGCCTGGGCTACAGAGTGGGGCTCTGTTAAGAGAAAGTGAGGGGGGATGGGGAGAAAGATGGCTTAGTGCATAAAGCTGCTTTTCATGAAGCCTACGACCTGAGTTCTAACCCAGGGACCAACATGGTCAAAGGAGATACCTGATTCCAGTACACATACATCCACGGATAATACAAATTAAAATGTAATTTTAAAGAAAAGAAAAGAGTAAATTATGAAATAGCAGGTACTGTTATGAAACTAAAAGGGGGATATTTATATGTTTATATGTGAGTACTGGGATGTTCACAGGATGGATACCCAAGAAATCACAAGTGATGCCACTCTGTGAGGGAAGGGGAATTTACAGTCAGGAACAGGTGTACAGGTTTTTAAAAGACTTACTTCTATAATTTTAAATTATGTTTATGTATGTGCCAGTATGTGAGCATATGCATGAGTGCAGGTGCCTGAGGAGGCAAGCCAGAGCCATCAGACCCTCCTGGAACTGAGGTTACAAGCCACTGTGAACCACTCGATTGATGTAGGTGCTGGAATCAGCCCTCAGGTATTCTGGAAGAGCCCCACATACTCCTAATGTTGAGTCTTCTCTCCAGCCTAAGATATAGGGTTGTCTTTGTTTTGCTTTGTTTGTTTGATACAAGATCTAACTATGTAGCCCCAATATGCCTGGGATTCATTATACAGACTAGGCTGGTGTAGAACTCACAGAAATCCATCCTCCTCTGCTTCCCAAGTGCTGAGGTTAAAGGCATGTACCATCTCACCTGGTTCTGAGGTGGGTTTTGCTGTTGTCTTGTTTCTTAAATATTTATTCAGGGAGACGGCTCAGTGGTTAAGAGCACTTGTTCTTGTTGAGTTCCCTGCTCACAACCATCTGTAACTCCAGGTCCAGGGAATTCGATGCCCTCTTCCAACATCAGTCATACACACAGAGCCCAGACATACATGCAGATAAAA